CCTAACCATTACCAGTACATACCTAACTCTAAGCCTAACCATTACCAGTACATGCCTAACCCTAAACCTAACCATTACCAGTACATACCTAACTCTAAGCCTAACCATTACCAGTACATGCCTAATCCATCCTCAATTCACACATTAGTCCTAAACCTAACCCCTAACCCACCAACGACATTTGAACCTTATGGGGACCGGACTTTGGTCCTCACAATGTAGTATGTGTTCAAAAACAGTCCTCACAAAGTAACAGAAACAAGCACGTGCACACACACACACACACACACACAATCTGAAGGAATGAGTGTGGCGTTCAAGGACACTTTGATAAACTTATGAGTGTCATGGAGATTCTTATTGTAGAGATTTTTGCTGGATTTTGTATCAACTGAATTTAGAGATTTTTGCGTCAGTCTGGTAGCGCTGAGCTGCAGTAGTCTTGAAGTAACAAACGATCTGACTGAATCATTCTTAAACGGTGATAATTTTACAGAAAGATTTTAAAATATACATTTTTAAAATCTTTCATCCCCAAACCATACATTGCAGACTTCGTCAGCCCACTTCTTTGTATTCATGATGGTAAAAGCAAGATGTTTACATAATGTGAACATCAGGGGTGCACAGCTGGAAAGAGCAACACCACAGATTTTATTTACTTTAATAAACAAATTAAAATACAGCTCTTCATGTGGCTGTATTTATTAAAAGTGGTGTCTGCTGTTCAGTTTAAGTTTTTTTTTTAATGTGATCTCACTTCTAGTGTTAAACAATGGTTAAATTTTAACACATTGTTTTAATCTGACATGGTTAAAGAAAGTTTTTATTAAATAAAAATAGTTTAACATGACACTTTTTTATTGTCAGGGCTTTTAAATAGTTTCTCAAATAGTTTCTTGCTGATGAGAACAAATAAAGTTGCATAAAACATTTAAAGTACAAAAAAAACACAATACAAAAGCAAAGCGGAGAGTTAACTACAGATTTTTAGATTCAATGAACAAATTGTAATTGTTTAATCCTCAGCATGAGCTGACCACCTAAATGCACAGTTCTTTAAACTTTAGTTGGAGTTCAAGTGAAAAATATTTGTTTTTGTTTAATAATTTAATCCAACAATGGGGGAGCCAATCAATGTCAAATTAAAGTCTGCATAAATGCAGATGTTTTAGATTACAGTTTTCCTTTGGCATGTATCATTTTGTTGGACAGAAAGTGTTATAATGTCCTTTTTTTTTTTTTAGGTTATAGGTCCCATGCTATAAGATTGTTTAGTAAGACCAAATGTAGTTCCAGATCTTATAACTGCAGGCGTTCATCAGACAGAGATTGAATGAAGCCACTAATCTGATCATGTTTTATCATAATCACAATAATGACCTTTGAGTGTCCCCTCCCAGGATTTTCTGCTTGTAAACACATTATGTTCTTATTGCTTCTTCAAAATGTTTTCCCACTTCTTTAAAATTACTCGTTCTCCATCTAACTCCTGCATTGAGTGTTTGCTTGATGTGGATGTTTGTCGGCTGCTAGATGCTGGAGGAGAACGCTCGGGTTGCACTGATGATCGAAGAATCCCTGCGAGACCAAACCATACAGATGGGGCTGTATGAGATGGAAAACCTCTTAAACAGGTGTGAGATGCAGTTTGTTTGGATGTCTGGCCTTAAAAGCACGTTGTGTTCTGTATAAATAAATATAAACTTTAACGTTCAGGTTTCGGGAGGCTCTGGTTGACTTTGGAAAAGATCATCGCAGAGATCCAAGCAACAACAAGAACAAGTTCTACCTCCACTACCTGCTGGCTTCCATCAGCAACTGCATCATCCTCAAGTAAGATTCTGTCAGAGTTCTGGTTCAGACATCTTCCCTGATCCACGCTGGCCATCTTTAATACTTTGAAGGTTCATGCTCTGAGGCATCCTGGTGAAGATGATTTTCTGTATTCTGGTGTCATATTCTCAGTTTTTTTGGAGGCTTCCTTTAATTTGGGGCTGCACAAAATGCTCATATTCATGATTAATCACTTTTAATATCCTTTTAAATGATAAAATAAAGCTGAATTAAAATAAGCTTAGGGTGTTGTCATGGCACTAAATAGTTTTTAACAATAAATAAATAAAAAGTGTGTGTCGTCTTGTATCTGATACAGAAAGTCCACGGAGACCCTGCAGCAGCAGCAGTCCTCCAGGTCTGCGGGTCGGTTCTCTCGGACTCCTCCCAACCCTCTGGCAGCTCTGGACCGGGCCGTGCGGCGGGCGTGTCGTCTGGTGATGGACCACCTGCTGCTGGACCTTCAGCCCTTCCTCCCAGGACTGCTGACTCGACCCTGGCTGGTCCAGGGAGATCCCATCCCCAAACTCTGCAGCATCCTGGAGCTTCACCTGGAACTGTACGGTCGAGTTCGAACGCCCTGCCGGCAGGTCAGAGATTCAGAGAGAATGCATTTCAGACTGAGCTTTAAACCTGGAAAACCATCTGATTCAATCTGATTTTGTCTGAGAAGCAGAAATGAGCCCCACTTTCTGCAGAGTGAAACGGATTCCTCTGCCCCGTGTGACGGGATCTTTAGCAGATGCAGAGGAGAATCCTGTGTTAAACACTTACAACGGTGATGTTTCTGTGTCTGCAGCGCCTGCAGGAGGAGGCCCAGTGGCTGATGGTGGTGGAGTACGTCAGGGCGTTGATGCAGAAGAAGTTGGTGTGTCGCAGCGCTGAGGACAGGAAGCAGCTCGCTCAGCAGATGCTGCAGGATGACCAGCAGCTCAGGGACGTCTTCCACAGCCTGGTGAGGATATCATTACAAATATTTAATCATGTTTTAGCCAAGTTTATAATGTACTGCAACTCTGCTGTATCACATTTTGTAAAAGTATCTACAGCAGACAGCGGGACAAGGCACTAAAATGATAACCGGAGAGTCTTATTTTATTACACCTTTTGAACAACTCTAAAAGTAGAAGTAAAATATAAACATGGAGGGAAGAATCAGTGGCCAAAGGGCTGATGTATCCACTTATTTAAAAATGTTATTACCATTATAAACAAAAACACGCTGCTGCATCTGTTGTTGATTGGAGCTGCATTTCAGCTGGTGGTCTTAATCATTTTGTTTTGGTAAATTTATTAATACAGAGAAGTGAACTGTGTATGTGTGTGTGTATGTGTGTGTGTGTGTGGGGGGGGGGGGGTCTCATAATCATGAACCTGCAGGCTCGTGCCCAGGTTGTGTCAGGAAGGGCATCGGGCATCAAACAATTGCCAAATCTTTTGTGAGTTTGCTCACTGTGGCAGCAACCACCTCCTTTTTATGATTTAATCCCAGTGATTTAATTAAACGCCTTCAAGTATTGAATAAAAGTTTTGATATATGTAATTGTCATATCATCAGATCTGCATGTCTGTGTGTGTGCGTGAGTGTGCAGGAAGGTGAGGGGTCAGTTCCTGAAGTGAATCCTTTGGCTTTACTCCCCATCCTGGCTGACTTCATCCGGCTTAAAGACCCCGGCATGCTCACACTGGAAGTTTCTGGACTTGCAGCTAAATATCCAGACATCAGGTAACCATCAACTGTGCATAAATATTCTTCCACAAACTGTGTGTGTGTGAGTGTCTGAGGGGGTCGTTTTGTTTTATTGATGAGATTTACCAGTACACAGTTTAATGGTGTTTTATCTCAGACTAACTGACTTGTTGTCTGTTAACAAACTTAATGGATTCAGTTTTTCTAAAGTGGGAAAGATTATTGTCAAGAGGAAAAAAATCAAACACAGCTACCGAAAGTGCCGTCAAGTTTCTTCCAGGGTAGACCATGTGTTAGTAAAAACCTTAAATAAAGCACAAGAGTCTGATGATAAGATGTGACGACGTTCAGCGCTCGGCTCAGTTTGCTCCAAGATTCATAACTGCACGTACGTATTCATTTGTCTTCTTCCAGTCAGAACCAGTTTCAGTCGCGTCATGTCTGAGAATCAGGTTGCCTTTCATTGCCAAACGAAGCATCAGCTGTTAACAGTGTTGCATCAAACTACAAGACTTCTGAAACAGATGAAACCAAATAAGACATGTTTGATGCACAGCAGGACGTTTAGCATGAACACCTCAAAGCAACCGTCCAGCACAATGGTGGAGAATCGATGCTTTGGGAATCACTGAGTCGACCAGAAACTCCTGTAGACCAAAGGCTTCTAGAGTCAAATGTGAGGCCATCCTGTCCAAAAACTGAAGCTTGGACCAAACCGGGTCATGATGCAACAAAACAATAATCTCTAACTCAGCAGCATGGCCTAAAACAAATACAAAGAAAAGATGTTGCAGTTGTTCAATCAAAATCCAGACCTGAACCTCATTGAATGCTGGGTCAGACCTTCAAAAACTGCAGAAACAATTTAGTTACAAAACTCGATCAACCGAAACAACATTGTAAAGAATTATTCAACAACTGAGACTGATGAAGTCTAACAGAAGATGAGTGTGGTTTTAAAAGCTGTTATCTGGAGTGTTTTATTTTCCACAGACTGGTTCCTTATTTTAATTTAACATTTTTAAATAAATAAAGTTACAGTTTGGTATTAATCTGCAGTTGATTTTCCCTCTTTTAAAATCTGGTATTAACTAAAAACGTTGACTTTTTAGAAATGTATGTCCTTTTCTCTTCGATCCCTCAGCGAGGAGCACGTGACTGTGCTGATGGACGTCCGAGGCGATGTCTCCAGGGACATCCGAGGGGCCGTACTGGACCTACTGGAGCAGAGTGCACCCCCTCTTCCAGTCGGATACCGACCCATCTTCACTGACATCCTGGTGCCTCCCTCCACCCTGGCCTTCTGTCTGCCAACAGCCAAGTGTGCGTGACAGGGACCCGGACATGTTTTACAGATGAGTCCATGGATGGCAAGATGCAATAATGTCTTCATCAAAGCATCACTAAATGCAGGAGGCCATCATGGATCAATTTTTTTTAAAGGGCTAAGTTGATGACCTGCTGGTACAGGTCTAAATTAATTTGTGCTTTTTGTGTTTCTCATGCTGCAGATTTATTAACACAACTGTAAGCAACTACAAAAACATTACACGACACCTTCTCTTTTGAGTTGGTTTGGTTTTGTTGTTACTTGTGCTGATCAGACATGTAGATTTGTTTAAAGAATTTGTTTGCGCATGTGTAAAATCTCTGATAATTCAACAAACCTTTCCAGTTTGATAGACGTATGGAAATACTTACATGTACAAGTTTATCTGGAAAAATAATCCAGCAGGAAAATGTGAGTAACTTCAGCTGCTAAATCTTTAATTTCATAATTGTTCTCTTTTAAAAGTCACTTTTATAAAGTATGCTTTTTTTTAAATTGTCTCCAGTTTAATCTTGTTTAAATGGGATGCTTTCCTCTAATGTGATAAATGTATTTATTATATTTGTGAGTTTTCTGCTATATTTAATTTTGTACTGATTTGTCTTTTTATGAATGATTCCTTAGATACACACTGTAAACTTTACTACATAAAAACTGAGCTATGAACCTTCTTTGTGGAATGGTTTAAGATTTTATATTTTTATTGCATTATTGAGCATGGACTTAATTTTATATTTGAGGTTTGTAGCCCTCTAGTGGCCACTTACAGAACTGCAGCTGGCTGACACTTCCGGTGTGGACCTTTTGTAAGAAAGGTCATTTTAAAAAGTCAAAGCAAAGGTTGGACTGAATTAGGCATAGAATAGTGTTTTGTAGACTGTTAAATGGGTTTATAATCTGTTTAATCACAATTATTTTAAAAAGTCCCATTATGATCAGAACTCTTCTCGTTAACCAACGCTTTGAATCATTTAGGGACTTATTTGTCGCCTTCTTGTAGACAGGAAGTTAACGGTTTTGTGAATGGCTACATCTGATTTTACATCTCTAATTAACCACAGCTAATTTAAAATAAATTTCAGAAGTAGCCACAGCGAACTATGTTGCATGAAAACTTGACAATTATTTTTACGCGGGATGCCCTTCCTGATGCAATCACAGACCACCGAGCTACCACAGCTCTCTGTGTGGAGCAGAGAGCTGCTCTCTAGGGCGCACAGGGATCCCAGACCTCACCTCTGTCTGGTAACAGCTTTCCCTGCCTCTGACTGGCGCAGATTCTCACTGGCGAGGCTCAAAGCATTTGGTTTTTGTACATCTGTGAAAGCTTCCTCGTGACGGTGCAAGTATTAAAAATCTTCTCATATCCTCAGAGTGACTTAACTGAGCAAAGAGATGATGAAAGGACATTTATGTTATCAAACACTGACTTCCTTCCAAAAAGCGAGCCAAAAAAGAAAAAGGTGAAGGAACTAACATCACAGTTATACAGACAGCATAATTTTATTTTTTTTGTACAGCTAACCACAACAGCAAAGGCAGCTATCGAAGCATCATTCCAGGTGAGTCACTTAATAGTTAAGCCCAAGAAGTCCTTCCAAGATGGAGGTATTCGTTGAACTCGTTCTGAGACTTTAAAACCAAACCAGAAATTTAATCTTCAAAGCTCTTCAGGTATCAAGAAGTACGGTTACACGGTGCTGTGTCAGTCAGAGTTTCTTTGTCATTCCACCACATGTGGTGGAATGAGCTTGTGTACACAGGGTCCCAGTTACATCCAATAATAAAATGTAAATGAAAAACAGTAATAAGATCTAAGATATGAACAAAGAAACACAACTAAAAATACATTAAGCACTAATAGCACAACATGTCGAACAGCAACATGAACATGCATGAACACATCAACATGAAACTGATCAGCAGCAACATGATGTGATTTTTCACATTAATTGTTCTAGATATTCATGAGTCTAACAGCCTCAGGGTAGAAGCTGTTCCTCAGTCTAGTGGTTCTACACTTAATGCTCCTTAACCTCCTTCCTGAGGGGAGCGGGGCAAAAAGTTTGTGTGCTGGGTGAGTGGAGTCCTTCATGATGCAGGTGGCCCTCTTCTTGAATCTGGAGGTGTAGATGTCTGATGGTGGGGAGGCTGACTCCAACAAACTTCTGTGCAGTCTCTGCAAAGCTTTTCTTTTCTTGAAGAAGCTTTTATTTTTCTTGTGAAGCCATGGCTGAGGATTTGACCCAGCAACCTTGGAAAGATATCACGGACTGCGAGTGTTTCTCGTGAGTTTACGGATGTGACTGACACAGCCCAGCTGTGCATTTTTGTTCGGATGGTGTTTATCTGGAGTGGAGGATGAGATTTTGACACTACAAGCTGACATTCAGCTCAAGTCCAGGGCTCATGGACAGTTCTGGAATTTACTCACAGAGGAAAAGTACTCCAACGTGAGGAAATTTTACCTCCTTGACTGTGTTATTCAGCTCCACTTATTTATGTGAGTCAGCCTTTTCCCACAGGAAGATTAAGTCCAAATATCGCTCCACCATGACTGGTGACCTTTTGGAAGTTTGAGGCTGACTGTCAGCAGCTACTGTCCGGACTGTGCATCCCATCCCTGGCTGATTCCATTCAGTGCAAGTCATCAGAGTAAAGTATGATAAAAAAATTAACAGAGTTGTACTGCACAATATAGGTTAATGCAGTTATGCAATCAATATACTATATTATAGACATAAAGAATACTTAATATGTTTATAAATAAGTATATGTTTTGTATTTTTATAGTAGGTAGATCACTTTGACTTGGTCGTTTTACAAGTAGCTCGCATACTGAAAAAGTGGATACCCCTGATTTAGATCACAAAGCTTCACAAAATGCTAATTTTGAGCATGAGCCCTAAACTACAGCTCCCTGTTAGTTGGTTTAAGAGGGGTCACGTGACCAAAATGGATCGTGATTATGGTTCAGCAGCAAAAACATCTTGAAAAATTAGATACAATACAACATCAGGCATTAAGACTGCACAGGAGCATTCAGAACCACACCAACAGCAGCACTACAGGAAGAAATGGGATAAATGCCATTAGATCTAAAAAGAACAACTAGCAATAAATCAATGGATAAATTTACAAAGCAATAACCTAGATCATCCAATATGTGATAAATCAATGCTGAGAAAAAGAAAAAAGACAAACAAGATGTTTTGGATGGGTCATAAGAAATAAAACAGAAGAATTTCAAATATGCAGTTTAGAAATTAGTTCAAATCCACTTTTCTTTTGTTTTTTCAAATACCTCTTTGTTCTTGCTCATATTTCTGATATTCTAGTACATGTATTGTTTCATCCTGTCAGCAGTGCTCACATTTTTCTGTATTGTGCTTACTGAGTCATGTATGTCCATATTTTAATCTTGTTATTAATCTTTCCTCCTTTCTGCTCCTTCTTCCAGTTCTCGTTTCTCCTACTGTCTTTTTGATCAGCTAAAACCGTCTTCGTTTTCTTTCTCCATCCCATCTTTTTTCATTCCTCCTTCAGTTTTTGTTTGGTGATACATTGTTTCCTCTGATTTGTATGTACTGTGAAGTTAATATGATTTGGAGTTGCCTTCTTATCTGCCATTTCATTTCCTTGGATTCCAATGTGTGCTGGCACCCATAAAAATGCCACTGTTAATCCCATCCTTTGTATTCTGAATAATGTGTGGAGTATTCTAATAAAATGCCTGACCAGCTGTCTCAATGATTGTGTTTAAACTCAATAATGCAGAACTTGAATCTGAACTTTTTAATAGTTGTACTTCTTCCACCCACTGTACTGTTAACATTTCTCCCGTGTACACCGATAAGCCGTTGGTGATTCGTTGTCCTACCTTTATTTGAAATTCCAGGACTATTAAAGAAGCTATAACTATTTTTTTAATAGTTTTTTATGCGTCTGTATAAATTTGAATGTACTGATAATAATTGTTTATATATGTCTGTACTGTATGTGAATCTATAATGTATGTCCTGTCCTTTTTCATTAGTGTCATGTCTACTGTTGCTTCCAGTAAAATCTAGGGCGGTACAACGTAACTTGAGGAGCAAACATACAACTTATGATTAGATATTTTAAGAAAACAAAATTAATATAATTTGATCTATACTGTACATATACATAGTTTATTCATACATACAGACTGATGAAACACACTCCACACCATTTGGTGGCGGTAATGCACATCTACAGGGTTTTTTTTTGTTTTTGTTTTGGCACCCAACTAGCAGAAGAAGAAGAATTGATCGTGACGTCATCAAGCAATATGGCGGTCTTCAACCCAACGTTGTGTCTGTAATCCTGTTATTTTTACCAGAAAGCAGTCCAGGAGAACTTTTTGTTTTTTTACCCTTTATTTTCCTTCAGTCCGGACACCCGAGCGGGGATCTGTCGAGATGATGAAGACTTTCTGCGGGAGAACAAACCCGACCAGCGGAGCTCTGGACTGGGTGGAGAGCGAGGAAGACTACCACCAGGAGATAGCCAGGTAGAGCCGAGCCAGCAGATAATGCGCCCAATTAAACAGCATCTGGTTATTAATTATTAATCTGCTTTAGATTACATGCAATTTATGGAAAACAAGGCCAGAAACACAATATTTAAAGTTTAAGCACAGTGTTTAAACAAGTGTTTTTATGTTTGAAAGCGTTGGCTACAAATAATAAAACGAGAATGTATCAAAATTAAATATCCTCCTTTCTCTCAAATATATAAAATGAATTAAGACTAAAATTATTACTTCAGTGAGATGAAATACAAACTTGACACGAGCTTTTTAAAAAAGTAATCTAGTTTCATCTTTTAATTTGTGTCCTGACTGAATAGTTGAAGATTTAAAAGTCATGCTTTTTGCACATTTTTATTCATATTTGCTGGTATTTTTAATAATTCTATGCAGAAATGAAGCTCTAATTTGATATGTTTGTGTGTGTGTGTGTGTGTGTGTGTTTCAGGTCATGCTATGCTGACATGCTGCACGATCATGACAGGGTGAGACCTCTGTTAAAGCATTTTAATCACTGCTGAAGTTAGTTTCAAGCATTATTTATTACACAGAATACTGTTTTCACTTTGATAAAATAATGCAGCAAAGCTCAGCTTTTATCTGAACTAAACACGACGGCAACTAATTGTGATAGTAAGTTAATTTTAGATTTTAGATTAGATTTTTAGGGTTTTTGTTTTGATATTGTTGAGTTAAAACTTAGCTCCGGACCTTCGTTTTATCAACTTTGTTCATATTTTTCACCAGAACTGAAAACTTCTGTCTTTCAGAATGAGAAGTACTATCAGGGCATCCGGGCTGCCGTAGCCCGACTGAAGGCTCGAGACGAGCGGGTCGTTGTCCTGGACATCGGGACCGGAACCGGCCTGTTGTCCATGATGGCCATCACTGCTGGCGCAGACTTCAGCTATGCTGTGGAGGTACATAAACACCCTGTGTGCGTGTCTCCAACTAACTTCTGGACTTAGAACATGTACAAAAGTATCTATTAAAAATTTGAGTCCTGTGTAAAACTGTTATTTATATTTGACATCAGTTTGATCTGATGGCTGCTACTAAAACACAAGTTGTTGTGAATTTGGTAACTATTTTCACGAAGAGCAGCACGGTGGCGCAGTTGGTAGAGCTGCCACCTCTCAGCGAGCAGGTCGCCCTGGTTCAAATCCCGGCCTGGAGCCTTTCTGGGTGGAGTTTGCATGTTCTGTCTGTGCATTCGTAGGTTTCTTCCGTGTACTACGGTTTCCTCCCACACACCAAAAACATGCATTGCATAAATTGCCCCTAGGTGTGAGTGAGAGTGTGAATGGTTGTCTCTGTATGTGTCCCTGTGATGGACTGGAGACCTGTCCAGGGTGTCCCCCGCCTCTCATACAGTGACTGCTGGAATTGGGCACCAGTGGCCCCCGTGACCCAAAAAGGGAAGAAGCGGGTAAAGATGATGGATGGATTTTCTTATGAAACTGAATTCAACTTGCAGCTAACGTTCATTTTCAATAATGCATGATTATAACATGAAGATCTAAGAATGGAAAACAAAGAAATCACAACATCTCAACCTGAACAATCAGTACAAGTCAAAAATATTCAGGTTCTTATCACAAGATAAGAAAAAGCTACAAATTCTGACCTTTGAGAAAATGTTTAATGTTTCTTCTTTGTTGTTTTTGTTTTATATATTATTTAAAAGTGTTAAATGTTGATTTCTTAGGTTTTTAAACCAATGGCTGAAGCAGCTCAGTGCATCATCCAGAAAAATGGATTCTCTGACAAGATCAAGATAATTAACAAACACTCAACAGACGTGACCGTAGGACCAGGTCATACACACACACACACAAATAAATGTACTTTTTGGGGACTTTGCATTGACTTCCATTCATTTTCTAAAGGCTAACCTTGACCCTTACCCTAAACCTAACAATTCACACCTTAGTCCTAGTCCTAAACCTAACCCCCCAACAAGACTTCTCCTTATGGGGACCTGGCTTTGGTCCCCATAAAGAGCAGTTGTTCCCACAATGCATGATTTTTTGTAAAATTGGTCTCTACAAGTTAACCTGAAGCAAAAATGCACACACACATATACACACACACACATTTGTATTCCACTCCTTATTAGTACCTTGTATTGACTTCCATTCATTTCCAGTTACTTCTATAGCCTAACTCTTACTTTAAACTTAACCTTATCATTACATACCTAAGCCTAAACTCAATTCACATATTAGTCTTTAATCGAACCCCTAACTCAAAAATGGCATTCTGCCATATTAGGACCGGCATTTGGTCCCAAAAAGGACAACTGGTCCTGAATAGGTGGGTGCTTATACCAGAACATGCCCTAAAAAAGTAACAAAACCAAGTACACACATACACAAAGAGCTGGTTAATACTCAGTCTGTAAAATAACCAGTTTCAGCTGCATCCTCCAGCTCCAAAATGTGTTCAATAAATTAAAGAGAAAAAAAAGTAGAACATAGTTAATCTGATCTTTTTATTATGAATAATTATTTCATCGTTCTTATGCTTAAAGGACTCGTCGCAGTCTCTAACATCAAACATTGAAAGGTAACTCGAACCTCTGTCAAACAGAGAAGTTTGAGTTTACTCTGATTGTTTTCTAGATCTGTTGCTATGAGTTTCTGAAATGTGGCTCTGCACTCAAAGCTCTTTTATCCGAATACTTTGCTGAAGCAGTCAGAGCGTAAGTATGTACTTGTACATCCAAACTGACTTCTCGATGCCTCAAGTCTTCTCCGGTTTCTGACATAATTGACGTCAGCTGTTTCTTTTTGTAAACAAATAATCGTGGTTGTTGGCAGCCATTCTGATTTTATCTTAAGCACACGTTAACCATTGATATAAAAAATGTACACATTTAGTTTTTTTAATGATTAAAAAAAAATAATAATTCATGACATTGCAGCAAGTACTTGCAATAAAATGCATATTTTCAGAATCATTTGCAATTCATCTCCTGTTCTGTGTTTGGCTCTATTAATGTAAAACAATCCTGTAACTTTAGTTTTAAACATGATTATATATTGTAAAAGAATGATTTGTGTCTTGTTTCAACAGATGGAGATATGCAGGAAAAGGCCAATTTATTGATCACAGAGCTGTTCGACACGGAGCTGATCGGTGAAGGAGCTCTGCCCAGTTATGAGCATGCTCACCAAAACCTGGTCCAGGTTTGTGTTGTAATCCTGAACTTTCACTTAAACATGTCTGTCATGTTCTCACTGCTCACGTGTCTGAAAACTGAAAACACAAAAACTTAGTGTGCTTAAATGATGGTGTTAGTCTGGAGATTCAATTCGGTTTATTTATATAGCACCAAGTTACAACAGAATATATATATATATAAAATTATTATTTTTATGTAGGCACTGGGTTTTCTGATCTTTTTTAAAGTACTTAGGTTTTTTTTTTTGTTTTTGCTGTGACTCCTCCCTGCAGGAGGGTTGTGAGGCGGTCCCTCACCGGGCCACTGTCTACGCTCAGCTGGTGGAGTCGGAGCTGCTGTGGAGCTGGGCGCAGCTGCAGTCGATGGAGGTGGAGGGGGCTCGTTTAGTTCCACCGCCCGCCATCGGCCACTGCGCCGGGGCTCATTCTGTGTGTGACATCCAGCTGAGCCAGGTTCCTCCCGCGTGCTTCACCCCTCTGAGTCCTCTCTGCACCATGTTCAGGTAAAAGAAGCTGCAGCCCGTCCTGCTCCATCGTTTTCTCTCTGCAGTCATCAGTCATTCTTTCAACTCCATCATTTCCAGTGTAGACTTCAGCAAACCAGTAAGCAGCGCCTCTCAGTCCCACTCCTCCAAGTTTGTGGCTCAGTCTGGAGGTCGGGCTCAGGTGGTCCTGTCCTGGTGGGACCTCGACATGGATCCAAGTGGAACCATTGTATGCACCATGGCTCCCAGCTGGATGTACCCACAGCCAACGATGGCCCCAGTGAGTTACTGATCCGAGTGTCAGGAAACATCTCCTTTTCAGCTGTACTCTATTTCTTTACTCCTATATGTTGAAATGGAGTGAAGCCAATATGTAATTTCATGGTGCAATGACAATAAAAGTTCTTCTGTCTAATCTAAAACCCTTTATCTAATTGGTTAATAAATATTCACCAATTACCAGAAGAATAAAACCTGAATAAACACCAGATCTCAGACTAGAGGAGACTGTTGTAGCGAGACAGATTCGAACTTGGGCGAAAAGTGACAATGAAAGGAAACGCGTTTATGGAACGAACTACCAGAATATATCAGGCTCCGACAGTTATTTCGTTTTTAAAACCTAAAATTTGTCTCAAAGAGAATCGGTCGTGGTCATTCATGAAATGGATCTATTTTAACTGTGAAACTTAGAGAGTGTGATTTAGTGAAGTTCAAACTGTTTAAAAACATTTAACTTATTTGATTTTATTGAAATGAAAGCAAGTTAAATTTTAGATTTAGTTGCTGGGGTTTTTTTTATAGCTAGTGTTTTGTAAATCTTAATGAGCTAATGTGCTCAATTTAAGTTTTAGCGACTGTTTTGCGCTGATTTTACAAACCGGATTCCAAAAAAGTTGGGACACTAAACAAATTGTGAATAAAAACTGAATGCAATGATGTAGAGATGGCAAATGTCAATATTTTATTCGTAATATAACATAGATGACAGATCAAAAGTTTAATCTGAGTAAATGTAACATTTTAAAGGAAAAATATGTTGATTCAAAATTTCACAGTGTCAACAAATCCCAAAAAAGTTGGGACAAGTAGCAATAAGTGTCTGGAAAAAGGAAATTGAGCATATAACGAATAGCTGGAAGACCAATTAACACTAATTAGGTCAATTGGCAACATGATTTGGTATAAAAAGAGCTTCTCAGAGTGTCAGTGTCTCTCAGAAGCCAAGATGGTAAGAGGATCACCAATTCCACCATTGTTGCACAGAAAGATAGTGCAGCAATACCAGAATGGTGTTACCCAGCGTAAAATAGCAAAGACTTTTAAGTTATCATCATTACTCGTGCATAACATCATCAAAAGATTCAGAGAATCTGGAACTATCGCTGTGCGTAAGGGTCAAGGCCGTAAAACTCTACTGGATGCTCGTGATCTCCGGGCCCTTAAACGTCACTGCTCCTCAAACAGGAATGCCACTGTCAAGGAAATAACAGAATGGGCTCAGGAATACTTCCAGAAAGCATTGTCAGTGAACACAATCCACCGTGCCATCCACCGTTGCCAGCTGAAACTCTACAGTGCAAAGAGGAAGCAAGCAAGCTCCACAAGCTCAGACGTTTGCACTGGGCCAGGGGTCATTTAAAATGGAGTGTGGCAAAATGGAAGACTGTTCCGTGGTCAGATGAGTCACGATTTGAAGTTCTTTATGGAACACTGGGACGCCATGTCATCTGGACCAGAGAGGACAAGGATAGCCCAAGTTGTTATCAACGCTCCGTTCAGAAGCCTGCATCACTGATGGTATGGGGTTGCATGAGCGCTTGTGGCATGGGCAGCTTGCATGTCTGGAAAGGCACCATTAATGCAGAGAACTATGTTCAGGTTCTAGAACAACATATGCTCCCATCTAGACGTCATCTCTTTCAGGGAAGACCCTGCATTTTTCAACACGATAATGCCAGACCACATTCTGCAGCAATCACAACATCATGGCTACGTAGGAGAAGGATCCAGGTGCTGAAATGGCCAGCTGCAGTCCAGATCTTTCACCTACAGAGAACATTTGGCGCATCATAAAGAGGAAGGTGCGACAAAGAAGGCCCAAGACGATTGAACAGTTAGAGGCCTGTATTAGACATGAATGGGAGAGCATTCCTATTTCTAAACTTGAGAAACTGGTCTCCTCTGTCCCCAGACGTCTGTTGAGTGTTGTAAGAAGAAGGGGAGATGTCACGCAGTGGTAAAAATGGACTTGTCCCAACTTTTTTGGGATTTGTTGACGCCATGAAATTTGGAAACAACAGATTTTTCCCTTAAAATGATACATTCTCTCAGTTTAAACTTTTGATCTGTGATTTGTGTTCTATTCTGAATAAAATGTTAGATGTTGGCACCTCCACATCATTGCATTCAGTTTTTATTCACAATTTGTTTAGTGTCCCAACTTTTTTGGAATCCGGTTTTTAGTTTTAGCTACTGTTTTACTAGCTTTAGCTTCCGTTGTTCTAATTTTAGCTTTGTTCTGCTCATTTTACTGACATTTGAGTTTTAGCTTCAACAGGTTTCAGCATTCACTCTGGTCGTGGAGGTCAAGCTCAGGTCATGTTTGTAAATCTAAACATGTCTTGTTTAGTGGCGGGATCACTGGATGCAGAGTGTTTACTTCCTGCCTGTTGAAAGCCAGGTGGCTCCAGGAGACGAGCTCAGCCTGACGGTCTGCCATGACGACTACAGTCTGTGGTACAGCCTGCAGTCTCTCAGGTATATTTTGAATTATTAATATTTTATATTCTTCCCTTTCTGTTCAATCAGACCTTCTCCTTTTTATTTAACATAATCGTCCACAATAGCTCAGCTGATCCTTGAAATGCTCTGTACGTTTCAGTCAGAAAGAAGTGCAGTCTGAGTCTCCTCCCTCTCGACCTTGTTGCACCTGTCAGGCTCACCTGGTTTGGACTCGGCCCCGATTCGGTGAACTCAACGACAGACGGCGAACAGAGAGCTACGTCAGCGCTCTTCGCAACGTAAGCGAGGATCGACATCATGACCAAGTTTACGTGATTGTTTATTTGATGCGTGGTGTCGTGTCCAGGTTCTGAGCGAGGACAGTGTGTGTCTGTCCGTCAGTGATGGAAGTCTGCTTCCTGTGTTCGCTCGCATGCTGGGAGCTAAGAAGGTCCTCTGATTTCACACACAATGTTTCTCAAACTCAAAACGACTCCTTTACGGATTTTTCTTCTTGTGCTTTTTGTTTTCATCTCAGGTTTTCAGCTTGGAAAACTCCAGAATGTCTAAAAAAGTTATTGAGCAGGTAAACCTGGAGAATTCAATTCACTTTAAGAAATGTACAACTTTTAAACTAAGAGCGAATACTGGGAGCTGAACATTTACTTAAACTACTCAAATTAAAACAAGCAGAACAGGTGCTCAAATCAGTAAACAGTAGCTAAAAGCTAAAATTTGCTAAACCAATTCCACGCTTCAATTAAGAAAACCATACTTAACAGCTACAAACTCTTAACTTAAAAGTTTAAATTAGAAAAACAGTTTTTAAAGCTGAAAATTACAAAACCAAGACTAACAGCTTCAATTAGAAAAACAGTAGCTTAAAGCTAGATGTAGCAAAATCGTAGCTAAACACTAAAATTAGCAAAACCATAGCTAAAAGATACAATTAGGAAGACTGTACCAAATAGATAAAATAAGTGCAAACCCCCCGACAAAAATAAAGCATGTTTTTGAAGGGAAAAAAAAATGTTAATGTATTTCTATTGGGAACATTTTTGTAAATATGGCTAAATTATTTAAATAAGGTTGAATTATTTAAAAAGTATAAAAGTTATAAATACTAAAAGTAATGGCACACTCTGAAATTAACTGGATGTTTTGATTAAAATATCCACTAATTATGCAGAATCAGATTGCCTAAAACAATCAGAAGACAATATAAACAAGTAAATGATGGTTATCTTGTTGGTAAGGATTATAAACTTTTATTTATTTATTTTTGTTAGGAGGTAGAGCTGTCTTTTAATTGATCCTGGTTTATCATTATTTTGAACAAAATAGGACTGACTGTCCTAAATTAAAGCAAACGCCAATGGAGAGCGCCCCCTGCAGGATTTGAGAGAGAATGCAGGTTTAATGCAACATGGCTGGCTTCAGTTTTCAAGCACATAGTTTTAGATTTTAAAATTATAATTACAGTTTAATGAAGAAAGCACGTGCTTCTTCCAGAATAAGAAAAAAATTGTCATTTGCTGTTTTATTATAAAAAGCTCTTGGAGTGATCCTGGTTAAGGCCTCAAGACAGATTAACATCTGTTATGAATAAATCAGATTTAAGTGAAGGTTTATGAAAGATAAATGGATTAGTGAAGTTTGGTAAAATCCAGGTTTGATAAATCTGAAGTGGAACTTGGTTCTAATGAAGAATCTTTACTGATTTAGCACATTTTTCTGTGCAGGTGTTGGAAGCGAACTCCATGACAGGAGGAGTTGAACTGCTGGAAATCAGACCTGAGCAGCTGAGCAGTCAGGATGTGGGAGAAGAACAGGTGCCTTCATCTTTGTGTCTGTGCAGATATAACGAAGGGGGGTGGGGGGTCAAACTCATGCTAGAACAGTAACATGGTTTTATCTTTTACAGAGCTGTGCAATGTCTATACTTGGCTTCCACAGAGTAAACATCCCTTGAGTTTAGGAGCCTTTTTATCCCTGAATGATTCATATTTCAGCCTAAAAAATTAAAAAAAAATCTGGGTTTAGTGGTCAGGAGGACTGAAAACCTGACAAGCTGGTTAAATGTAACATGTTTATCAAGTGTATCTTGCATGTTTTAATATTTTAGTGTAAATAAATGTCACCATCTTTTAAAGATCTCCATCCTTATGGGGGAGCCGTTCTTTAGCTCCAGCCTCCTGCCGTGGCACTCCCTGTCTTTCTGGTACCGTCGCACCGCTGTGGCGGGTCTTCTGCGACCCAGCGTCACCATCCTGCCCTGCTCGGCCTCGCTGCACATGGTGGCTGTGGAGTTCCAGGTCAGATAGTCCTGATCAACCTAAATCAAATGCTGTGTTTTAAACAGTTTGTATTTTGAACTAGGGTTATATGAGATATTGAAATAGTCAATATCTTACCTGCAGTAGAGAGCAGTCAGAGTGATTTGGAGGAACAAGGGGAAATTCTCAGGACCCATATCAAGTCTTTTACTTTACTTTTTTACTTACCAGCTCTACAGAACAGCAGCTCGGGTCCGTTCCGGCTCGGTTCTGGTTTGGCAGACCTACCCTGCAGCGACGAAGCCCCCAATGTTCTAAACTCTTAAACCTATGTAATTTTAACAACATACACATACCAGTATGTACACTATAGCTACGTACTGCAAAATTTTATATGGGTATTCGCCAGCCGGTTCTGGTCCGGTTCTGATCGGCTCTACAGTCCTTGAGCACCAGATGCTTTTAGAGAGAGCTGGACCTTTGTAGAGCCAGCACAAAACCGCACAGTGGTCCCGATCGAGTCCAAGTAATCCAGAGGGCTCCGGATGAAAAGAGTCCCGGTGAGATCTGGAGAAGACACCGGATCTCCAAGCAACACCTTCCCACTCAAGAGGCCTCATGGGCCTGCAAGCAGCACTCAGATTGACTGATGTCCAATTCCCGGTCGGTTCTCCACAGCTCTCTGCATCCACTGAGCGCCAGTCACTACGAATAAGGACCGAACTTTTTCGGATCGGATCAAAACTTTCCCTCCATTTCAACAGAAAGCGGCGGTCAGAAGCACTGTTGGCTTCTGGGTAATGTAATTCTTTTGACTGGCGAGACAGCTTATTGAGAGAAAATTACAAAATGGCGCCTGTCTGAAGTATTTTTTTCGTTAAATTTTTACCGTATCCCGTATTAAAGTTGACAATCGTGTCGTGTGCAATCTTCTTTTTTTTTTTTTGTCGTATACAATCTCACTTTGAAAAACCACGAAAGAACGAGTCCACAAAAGTCGAACCGCGAAGTAGCATGGGACTACTGCACAATGTAAATAACCACACATAAAAAAATAAGGTCCAAGTTTTCTAATCACTGTTTTACGTCATGCAACAGCAAAAACGACTAAATTTATTGTTCTGTTAAAAGTCATCGATAGTATAAATTAAATTAAAACTTTTCACGATACATTAAAAATTCATGTATTTTTATGGTTTTCTAAATAAATATCGCTTTTCAACATCTAGAATAGACTCCCGCAGTTTGCCTTTTCATCGGTTAAAAGAAACGTGCTTCAAAAATATTCAGATTCTTGTGTTTTTATACAAAGATTTAAAGGTAATCATTGTTTTGTCTTTACTGCGGGGTGGTTAGGATTTGTGGAGGATAAGAGCTCCGTGTGGAACATGTGAGGGCTTCGACGTCACCCCCATGGATGAAATGGTCCAGGTAACGTTTTAAAATCTGAAAATGTCTACAAGGTTTTTCATCCAATAAAATCTAATTTGTTGGCGCTAATTTTGTAGTATTTGGTTAGTTTATTTTGAACTTTGAATGTAAAAATGAAAATAATGTATTTATATTTGTTGAATTTCTAATATAAAATGTCAGAACTATTCAGTACAAGGTGCCACTTCAGCTTTTTCAATCATTTTGTTGGAAAAATGAGCAAACGTGGTGTGAGAAGACGAGCTTCAGCCGAACTCTCAGGAGTCGGGGTCTGGTGGGCCTGAACTCCAACTCGGCTGTTTATCGAGCAAAAAAAGTCGTTAACGGCCACTTGTGTCTCCGCAGCGGTCTCTGGACTTCCGCGAGTCTCGTGAGGCGGAGCCCCACCCCTTGTGGGAGTACCCATGTCGAGCTCTCACTCAGTCCGCTGCTGTCATGACCTTTGACTTCACACGGTGCGTCCCTCAGCAGCCAATCAGCAGCCAGGGCTCGCTGCCTTTCATAAGGTACATTCACTTCCATTCTACTTAACACTGTAGTCCTGATTTTACACTATTGAAATAATGTGAGGAATGAGATGTTTTTTCTTATGAAGTCACATTTTATAGTTTTATTTACCATTTCAGTTAAATATTTATAATGCAAGGTACATTTTCAGACAAAAAAGGCCCATTTTAATTGCCGATTTTAAATTATTTGATTCTAGTTTGATTTTTCTTCCCGTTTTAGGAACGGTCGGTGCCACGGCGTCGCCTTATGGATGGAAATGCATCTAACTGATGACATCACTGTCAGCGCAGGTCTGACTCGACCAATCACTGAGCAGGTAACAAGCTTCATTCAGAGAATTTCTCTGCTTTTCTTTCCCTCTTTGGTTAATTAATCATTTGTAGTTTCAATCTGTCAAACCCAGTGGTCCTCAAATTAACAGGGCACGTCTTTAAGAAAATGTGTATTTTGCACAACATTAATATTTATTATGTAAATGCGACCCCTACATTCCAGCAGAGTAGGAACCACTGATTTTACACATTTACTTCTCATTTAGATTTTTTTTACACATTCAATAACAACTCAAGTGTTAAGAGTTGTATCTAAAAATCTTGCTGTATGAAATCTGGGTTTGTTGTGTTTTTCCTGCAGGGTGACTGCGAGTGGACTCGACACAGGAAGCAGGGAGTTTATTTCTTCAGGTCGCCGTGGGAGAGTTCAGGTGACGGCAGGACTGCCGTATCTTACAGCTTCACCTTTGAACCCAGTTTAGGAGACATTAAGATGGACTTCAGTCAGTGTACATCTGTCAGCGACTGAAGAAGTGTTACTTCAGCACAGTTTTTGTGGATATTTAACGATTGTTCTCATTATTGCTACAATGACTGAAGTTACAGTTTGCCTTTTTACGATGCATCATCTGAAAACATCTTACAAGACTAATTCTCAGGGTTTGTGTGTGTCAGAGATAAACAGTTATCCTGAATTTACAGAAAATCTGTCAAGTAAAACCAAACGTTGTTGCAGTGTTTTGTTTTACATTTGTTTAGTCTTGGCTGATTTTATGGATTCTGGTTCAAATTGTGCATTTCTAGTTTATCTCTTCTATAGTTCAGTTTGTCACAGCTTCGCACGAGAAGCTGCACAAAATGACAACAGCAACAAGATGAACTTTTTGCAGCTTTTGATAAACCACATTTTATACATCAATATTTGAAATGTTTGTGTTGTGCAGCCCAATTTAAAAATGTTTACGTCCTTGGAACAACCAGTTTAAACGTCTGACCAATTGAATGAACATTAAGACGCATTTTGCTTGGATGCCATTTTGTTTAACTTGTTTCCCTGAATTATTTGGGGATTTGTTAAATATGGTTACCCTAGAGTAAAATAATTTAAACTGTTAAATACAGAAGACGTTTTGACACACAATGAAATTAACCAAAGATTAACATAATCTGCATAATCTGGTTTTAGTTTATTTTGATGAAACGGCACAAGTTGAAACGACTCCTCAGCCCTCATGTACATAAATATGCTTCATTTGAACAGTTTAACTGTTTTGTACTTTATGCTGTAACAATACCAGTGGTCTGACAGGACTTGGAAATTAAAAAGAAAAAAAAACATTTAGGAAAAGTTTGATCATATTGTAATTGTTTTTAAACAGAGTAAATTGATGTGTTGTAACATTACAAGACTATTGCTTTTTTTTTGTTTAATTTGAAACATCACATTAGAAACGTGATTAAGCGCACGCAGACATAGATTGTAAATTCTGTTTTCTGCTCATTTGAATCTCATATGAAAGTTTTTTCAGCTGTTTATACACGACAGCATCAAAACGTAATGTTTCACGGTCTTGATGGATGAAAACAATAAAATAAAAAAGGAATGTAATGTCTTGAAGCATGAGCAGCAGAGCTGAGAAATGATCTTCAAGCATCTGTCAGAGTGTTGTTGTCCAGAACAATCTTCTCTCCTGGTTTGAACGCTGGCATCCCTAAATACGGGCAGCTGGCACATCGGAAGGCATCGCCAAGATAACACTGCCACAAAGGAACAGACGATAACCGTTTTATCAGGATTTGGTTCACATGCAACAGAAAACGTACTAACTGCAGTTGATGATTGTTTTTAGTATACTCACACTCCCACATGCAGATTTTGGAAGGTTAGTTTTCTGTTTTTCTTTACTCTCCTGTTCCAACTCTTCAGCAAGTCCACACGTGCTACGCAAACGTACAGCACAGAAAAGGTCTTTTTAAAACATTATCACAGGTAAAAGCAGAAGTGGGATGAATTACATGGGATGTAGATTAATATCTTAAAACAGCATTTCGACAGAAATGAAAATGAAATATATCAAGGTTAAAAAAGAAGATAAACTGTAACATACAATAAAAAAAAATAATCTGGGTTGAAATATGACAATGGGATTTCTGTAGGGTCTAGATTTTCCATTTTAGGTTCCAAAACACATTTAGCTTTTGTTTATTCATCAATTTTTGCAATGCTCCGTTTGAATTTATTCTGTGTGTTATAGTTCTGAGGATTTTTATGGTATTTTGCTGTGAAAATAAAACTCCCATCATGAATGTTGGAGTTTATTTACTGTATTTTCCGCCATACACTTCACACCGCCCTATAAGTCACATTAGTCCAAATATGTAATAAAGTGGAAAAGTCCATAAATGCGTTGCTTTGCTGTATATGTTGCATTTATTATGCATCACCGCTGATGGGCCAGCGTTGTGCCAAAAATCTATTGGCTGCCAAATGGCGGCTGCAGGACCATGCACAGGAGGACTTTAACAAGAATTTAACAATATTAACAATTAAAAACAATTATTTGTTTGCTCGACATTATAGTAAATGTGTGTCTCAGTCAAACTTTTCCTTAATAAATGCGCTTTGACGGTCAAATCAGCTTTATTTCAAAGCCCGATGAGCCGAAGCGGACACACGCAGAGGGACGAGTCACTGTGCATTTCTTCAAAATTTAACAAGCACCTAAAAACAATTATTTGTTTGCTCGAAATTATAGTAAAAGTGTGTCTCAGTTGTATTTTTACTTAATAAATAAATGCACTAATGGTTAAATTAGCTACATTTCGCCGGGGCGGCGCAGCCAAATGAAGCTAATTTGACGGTTTCTCCAAGTGAGCTGGATGAAGGTGGCAGGCTATGGCAAGCCTATTGTGTCATTAATAGCCACTTTTACCTATTCCATGACACTATGGCATGCCATACTACTAGAGTGCCATCTAGTAGCCGAAAATGGTAGTGTTCAATATTTTCAGTCAAAATGAACGAAAACGGTCATGTCAGCCAAAAATTGGTTTTCTAAATATGGAAACAAATCCATAAATACGTTGCTTTGGCGTTAAAGTCACGGGGCATGTAAATTATACAAAAAAAAAAAAAGTGACATAGGGTGAAAAATACAGTACCTATATTCTGCCTTGTAAAATAATCTGCTTACTCTGCTCCTGAAAGTGGTTTGATGTAGTTTTTGACTGATTTAATTTCACTGAAGTAAATTTGTTACTTTGAAAATTTACTGTTTTTTCCTTGTAATCCATCCATCCATTATCTTTTACCCGCTTCTTCCATTTTGGGTTATGGGGGTCGCCGGGGCCCATGTCCAGCAATCACTGTGCGAGGGGCAGGGTACACCCTGGACGGGTCGCAAGTCCATCACAGGGCCACATAGAGACAAACGAGACAAACAACCATTCACTCTCACTCACACCTAGGGACAATTTAGAGTTACCAATCAGCCTAACATGCATGTTTTTGGTCTGTGGGAGGAAACCGGAGTACCCCGAGAAAACCCACGCATGCACAGAGAGAACATGCAAACTCCACCCAGAAAGGCCCCCAGACTGGGATTTGAACCAGGGACCTGCTCGATGAGAGGCAGCAGCTGTACCAGTCGTGCCACCGTGCTGCTTTTCTTGTAATCAAAGGTCTTAAATTTAAATCAGTGTGATCTTTAAAAAGGTCTTCAATTCAATTTAAACTCTGTTGATTGAAACTCTAAGAAAACCCATGTCTTGCTAAGGTGACCATCAAAAAACTGTTGAACTTGCCAGTTCTTGCAGGCTTTTTTCTTCTTGGCACCTCCTTCCCCACAGCTCGGTGCTTTCAGAGAGCCTGGATCTGGTTTCTTTAAATCATCTTCATCAAGCAGAGCATCAGAGTCCAACAAATCCTTCAGAAACAAGAGTGCAATTGACACTAGAGAAATTGTATTTCCTGTGAAAATGTAGCGAATGCTTTTTTATGAATGCTTTTGCTGAAAGCTGCTTTTAAACTAGTCAACTTGATCAATAGCTAACTTTTTGAAAAATGACACAAGAAGCACAAAAAAGCTAATAAAATTTCTAAAGAGGCAGAAAAGGGTTTAAATTTGGTTAGAAAAGCTAAATTGTGTAAAAAAAAGCAGTAATTAGGAAAAAAAAAAAAGGAAGAAGCTAAAAGTAGAAGGCCACAAGAATAAAAAGCAAATAAATAAATTTCTAGTTTTAATCCAGAAGTAGGGAACTTGCTACTTTTAGCTCTTAGCTAGCATGTACATGCTATTCAAAACTTCTGTCTCCAAGCCAACTTTGTCATGCTTCTCTGCAAGCATTTTACTACTTCTGACTAAGCTAGCCTTTTTGTTTTTATTTCTTGCTAGCATTTTGCTATTTTTGGCTCTAAGATGGCATTCTCCCTATATATACTGTACTTATATTTACTGTACTTATATTTACTGTACTTATATTTGTCTGTTTTCAAACAGAGAAGTCTGAAACTCTTAAAAAATGGCCCGTTAAAACTACTAGTTGAATTACTGTCACTTTTAATCGCACTGTAAGACTGATGTTCTGCCCTCAAAAAGATCCTGACAAGATATAAACTACTGTATTTTCACATATAAAATAATTAGAGGACACAGAAGTCAGAGTGTCAAAAGTTTTCAGCAATGTACAAAATGCATATAAAGCATATTTTCCAGGGTACATGCAGCACATACAGATGCTGGCATGCAGAAAATACACGACAAAAGCTTTTTTATGGTTAAATTTGAAGGAAAGTGGAATTAATTCTCAGTACAGGTGCTTAGAAAGACTGGAGTACACACATGCAACAACAATCCATAGAAAACTAAAGTCTACTGAGGAAATGTTAATTTTCTTTATCAAATAGCTGAGGTTTGACCCAAAAACTGAATTTAAAGCGGTCTTGGCTCAAAGCCAGACTTCATCAGTATTTCAAGAGAAGCAGGTGAAGCTTTTCCATTTATCAAAAGTCTGAACTCACCATATCATCATCATCCATGTCGTTGGCTGACAGTGTCCACATTTTCACCGTGTTGGGATCCAGGGCTGGTTTATCTGCTGGAAACAGATTTTACCCACTGTTACCAGCAAACTGAACTCAAAACAAAAGTCCATGCTCAATTATCCAGGTATACAATCCAACACAACTGGTTTGTTCCACTTTGGAGTAAGATGTTTGGGGGAAGAATCAGTTTTGTGTTGTGCGTTTCCTTGACTGATGAAGCCTTCTGGATGGAAGGTGCAATGTTTCAGCAAAAAAATAAACTGTCCAGATGACCTGCTTAAAACTTGTTGAACTCTAAACAGTTTCAGAAAATATAAAGATGGAACACTTTGAACTGCGTATCTTTATATATACATAAATTATGAAATGATAAAGGTAACTTTGCACATATGAGCCATATGCTCTACACAGAATGAGATTTCACCTGTTTTTTATTTTTCTCAGCTTCTTGAAAAGAATGTAGTATATGCTTATTGAACTTTGAACTACTACTACTAGTTGAATTATTGTTATTAATCACACGGTTTAGATCTTTTAGCATATATCTTAGTGCTTTCTATACTTAGATCCTTATATACTGTTTCATTTTATACTTTATATTTTTGCTATTTTTGGGTGTAACTGGGACCCTGAGTAAACAATTTTGTTCTCCCTCATGTACCACATGTGATGCGAATGACAATAAAGAGCCTTGTTTTGTACTACAGTAGTGAAAGTTCGGTGAGAAAAAGAAGACCATTAAACTGTGGTATTGAACCCACCTGGCTTAGGTGTCTTTTTTCCGAAGGAAAGTTTGATCTGGCTGGATGATCCTACCTCGTAGTTTGGTTTGGAGGCAGAAATACGCACTCGGGACAAAATGTTTCCTTGGTAAGCAGTAGCTGCTCTGAAGGTGCTCAACGCCTCTGGACTGAGCTCTGTTTTACTGACCTGAATGGAAAGGAAGCAGAAGGATCAGCAAATGTAAGAAGGAACTTTGAAATGAACCCTTTATTTATAACGACATAAGAATGTGCTTTTCAGATTTCTAAATTTACAAAAAAGCATAAAGGGAAATACAAAGACACATAGTTGCAAATAATAATTTATGCAAACAGCTTGTTATTCTTATTTAATACTTCATGCCACTCGCTACCATTTGATCACAAATATATATATATTTTCACTCACCTCTGTTACTGACATGAAGCCAGACAACTTCAGTGTTGACACAAGTTTCTCTGCGGTTTTCACCGTTTGTGTTTCTGTATCTGTAACAAAAATAAAAATACAGTGTAACACTGGCAGAAGAAGTGACCTCAGCATCTGTAGGTATAGAAACTAGGGGTGCACAGATTGCAGTTTTCTGGCCGATCACCGATTTCTACAAAGTCTGACCTGCCGATTCCGATTGTTTTATAAGAAACACTGTCAGGCGTTATAAAGTCAAAATGCACCTTCAATTTTATTATTTACAATATTATTTTGTTGAAAAACATACCATTGAGCATTATCCTAGAAACAATATAAACTTGTTTTAACTGGCCACGAGGTAGTGCTCTGAAATATAAATGAAGTTCAGACATTTGTTCAAACTTTTTTTTTTAAATCGATAAAATCGGTTTCTCATGCAAGTGTTGGCCGATTTCTGATTTCCCAAAATTAAGAAAATCGGGGCCGATAAATCAGTCGGCCGTTTTTTTTTTTATATTTTTCTATTTTGATGGGATTGTAAATGTGTTAAACATGTGTTTCCATAGTTCTTTCACATAGTAGGTACACCATGACTGCATTTTAGAACACATAAGGATCAAAGATCTTTTTTTCCAGGTAGTAATAGTTGAAATTTAGATTGAAAAGGGCGTAACAGCAATGTATTAACCTGACTGAGAAATTATCACGTTTTGCTTTCTGTTCAAGATATCTAGGAAAAAAAGGGGAAAAATTAGGTACGTTCAAAGAATCACTTAGAAAGTGATGAATTGAAAAATGTCTTCAAAGTAATGTCTGTTCAGTTCATCAGATGAACAAAGCAGAACCATACAATTTTTTACCATTTAGAATTTCTTATTCATTTAAAACTGAAATAGTTTAGTAATAAAACACTTAGCAATTCAATATGTGTGAAAAATATAAGCAGAGTTTTTAATGAGACATCCTAGAAGAGCTCAGAGTAAAGATTCTTTGTGTTTTCAAAGGAGTGAGCTAAGGAGGTTTGGGCATTTGAAAAAATTATACGTTTAACCTAACCTGGGAAGTTCTTGTGTTACCTTAGAACATGTTTTACGAGCCCACTGCCACATCTAGCGAGTACCATCTCTTACCTGTAACTGGTTCATCAAGGACCAGCCTGCCGCCAGGTTTAAGCACCCTGACCATTTCTGCTAAAGAGTCTGATGTGTGGATGAAGGAGCTGTCAGCGAGAAGGCAGGACAGCACCCAGTCAAAGGAGGATGCTGCATGAGAAGCTGGAGAAAAAAAAAAAGTAAGACTTGTGATACAACTTTCTATTGGTGCCTTACATGTTCTAATAAATGTCAGAATGCAGGCATATCTTCTTTCATCCATACTCTGGATTTATGATCTACTTACTTTCTAAAACTGGAACTTGTAGCAGTGAAAATTACGTTTCACAGATAATGTCATATGCTGAACCTTTTTTTATTCACTTCTGCCTGAGTTTTGAAACAATAAACCACAGTTTTCCCTACAAGACTGGTGATAAAAATCTAAATCAAGTCTGATTTGGTGTAACAAAACCAGAGGGAAAAGTACAGTAACTCACAGAGCAGGAGTCTCTCCATGTTCTCCACAGCCACATGTCCATCTGCACCAACAACAGCACCCAGTTCCTCTGCATGTTGTTTCAAAGCTTCTGGCGTCGATGGCTGAGCCCACACAAACAGCACCTTGTCTCCTGCTTTGACACCGAGGTCTGCCATGATATCCTGAAGAAAAATTAGCACAGTTGTTTAAACCTTCTGATCTATCAAATGCAGACTAGTTAAATAATTTAGTCATGAACTACTATAAAAAAAAATAATGTGGCGTTAACCACTTCAATGCCTCACTCATCAGAATCTTCCATATTTGGACATAACTACAGTATACAAGTCCAGACTGCTGTTAATGTGTGTTTATAGTGCTGCTGCTCCTTTAATTATACCAGTGCTGCATAAACACAAAGGTAGGCAGTATTTGTATATCCAAAAAAAAAAATCCTACATGAGGTTAATAACACATTTGATCTAATTCTTACTGTCAACAATGTAATGATGAGCCGTTTCACACAGTGGTGTACTCTACATTTTTGTAGTGGGTATACTGTACTTTGAAACCAAAGTACAGTGGTTAGTACAATGTAATTGTCAATTTATTTTGATTTTTAAGCATATTGAACATTTCCAAAAATTTCTGATGCTTACATTTGGATAAATGAACAACAAACTTTGTGTAACAGTTGGCTTTATATTAAAAACATGTTATAGAATTTATAAAACAGTATCAAAGCAAAGCATGTTATTAAGTGGGAAGTACAGAAGTATTAATTATACAATAATTTGCTGGATAAGCGAATGTAATAAACAAGGCTGCATACAGACAGATTGTTCCGGAAGCTTTTAACTGCCATTTAACATATCAATGGCATGCGTCTAATGATATGTCATGTATCATTGGGCACTTTTAAGTGGGTATACTCTGTATGGTATCGTGTAGACTACACCACTGGTTTCCCATTACATGGTCCAAATCTGTAAAAATACCCAAACATTTTACAATTTAAACATTGTAAATTTAACCAAAACTTTACTTCTGTAGTTATTTGTCCTATGTGTATTACCTAAAGTCAACAGTGACAAAACATTTTTGAAAAATCAAAAAGTAAAAGCAGTCACAGGCTTGAGTTGACTTGGATTACGCTTGTAAATCCTGTCAACCTCAAACAACTTTTAAAAATAAATTGGTTTAAACTAGATGATAAGGGTGAAGTGCAAACTAACTAGTCAAAAAGATCAGAAACCAAAGTGACCATGAAAGGTTTGAATAACAAGGGGGTTATCAGATTAAAACATTTTAAACCAGGATGTATTCATGTAAACACACAAAACAATAAATGCAGCCAATTAAATGCACCTGGCCACAGTTCAGTCTTGCGAAAACTGCTGCAAATAAAACGTTAATAGATTAAACACATGGAAAAATTAACATGGACAGAACAAAGTGTGCTGCCTTGTTTATGATTTGTTCAATAAATCTTATTATTAAAACACCTCACGGGTAAAAGTGTAACTAGTGTTCAGACGTTTTGTTATCTTTGGGGGAAGCTAAACGTGACGCAGCTGTTTGCGACACTTTTCAGGCTCCTAAACAAGTTGTTGACATTAAAAGACCCTGGTAAATGATTACCAATAAACAAAACTAGACTAAAGCTTACACATTAATATCATAGAACCCATCTGAAGAGATGTATAACATAAAGAAAAGTAATCGAATTGTTTGTTCTCAATAACTCACCTGCTATCCTGGCGGTTGTTGAAAAGTCACGTAGTCAAAATGTAAAGAGATTTTCCGGTTACAATTTTTCAAAATAAAATATTTTTGAAAATGTTGCCACGTTTGACAAAATCACTATATACAATGAAAATCGAAACTGTGTAGCTGTATAATGATTAATAAAACTATGCGAGTCTTTCATGTGGAAATGTTGCTTTTTCAACATAAAGTTTGATTGAAAATTAAGTTTTAGTTTGTAAATTTAGAAAAACTGACTTCCGTTATTTGATAGTCGCAGTAAAGTGACGCACCTGTGAGGTCGGAGATAATATGGCGGCGCTTCTGAGAGGACTGCGGGCTGGAAGGGTCCTCCGAGGGCTGAGCAGCGGTATTACAGGCTCTTGTTTTGTTGTTGTTTGGTATTATTACTGAAGTCAGTAAAAAAATTTAAGTTAAAAGAAAATATCAAACGCTTGCTATAATTTCTCTTGTTCGTGTCAACGTTTGAAAATGACCCAGAGTTCATGTTAGCTAACTCTGCCAAAGGTGATCATGAAGGGCAAAAATAATTTTAAAATATGATGGGTGTAACATCACAAACTTCATTGTTAGAACTATAAATTGGTCTCTAAAGTGATAAAGTCTTGCAGACGTAAACATGAAGGCATGCACAAGCGGTGTAAACGCGTAAGTTCCTGCAGCTGTGAGGTGTCATTTTGTGCAGTAGTTATAGCTGTCAGTGTTGTGCTAAATCGGCTATAAATAGCTTTAGTTTTACTTTATGGTATGAACACACGGATGCAACTTACAACACATTATACTAGGGTAGTATGCTTTTTTTGAGTCGAGTGCAAATTTATTTCAACGTACCGGTATTAGTGTCAATATACACCAAAAACAAACTGGAGCACCATATATAAAAGTAAACGAATCCAATTCAATTACATTTACCCCGGTAGTTAAGTTTTAAATTCAGTCCAATAAGTTTATATTTATACATATTTGGAGGTGCATTTCATTCAGTAATCAGAGTCAACTTGAGTGGACAATGAGAACTTTTTTAGTCAATTTAACAAAGACCAAAACATTTATTTTATTTGACAGAGCATTCTGCTCAATACTGCAGATACACAGTTTATGTATTGTATACACATAAATTTGAAATGGCAGGAGTGGTGGTGCAGAGGTTAAAGAAGGTGGGCCTGTGATCCGAAGATCGTCTGTTCAACTCCTGGTACCAACAACGTCAAAAAAATGTAGGTGGGATAGGTGAAGCACACACACCTGTCCCCACCCTCATTTTCCCCACTCTGGGCCTTTGAGCAAGGCCCTTAACCCCCACCATCTGCTCCCCCGGGCACCCTGGGTTGCAGCTCTGCTCCATACAAAGGGCTGTGGTAGCTCGGTGGTCTGTGGTTGTTTCAGGAAGGGCATCCGGCATAGAAATAATTACCAAGTCTTCGTGTTCTTAGTTCACTGTGACAACCCCTAACGCAGGGAGCAGCCGAAAGAAGCAAAAACAAAAAACATACGTCTGAAACTTGTATAAAACTGATGCAGAAGTTTGTAGTTTACATTAAATAATGTGATCTAAAATATCTGTAACAGGTCCTCATCACCTGTCAAAAAGTTGTCATTAAAAACTTATAAAAAAAATTTAACAATTTGGTAGAACTGTTGCCTCTCAGCGATAAGGTTGCCGGATTGAATCCCGACTGGGGGCCTTTCTGGGTGCAGTTTGCATGCTCTCTCCATGCATGTGAGTTTTCTCCAGGTACTCCGGTTTCCTCCCATAGACCAAAAACATGCATGTTAGACTGATTGGTAACTCTAAAAATTGTCCCTAGGTGTTAAGAGCGTGTGAATGGTTGTTTGTCTCTATGTGTCCCTGTGATGGACTTGTCCAGGACTTGTCCGGGGTGTTCCCTGCCTCTCACATAGATTTGGGCACCAGTGACCCGAAAAGGAAGAAAGGGTTAAAGATAATGGATGAATGGCATTGTCTGCATAAACATTTTTAAATATGAAACAACAGTTAACATTATTATGAAAAGGGGGGACAAATTCACCCAACTATTGTCAGATTACACTTCAACAAGCTGTTTCTTCATAATGTAAGATAAGCTTGCTCTGTTGAAAAGTTTTGAACTCGAAGGTGGTGATTAGGCTTGTTGAGTAAGCAGACCTCATGTGATTCTTTCATAGACTGATTCAAATCATTTTCCCCTCCAGTGGTCGCCGCGCCAACAACTAACCCTCAGTTAAGCACCTTGAGACGAGGCTTCCACTGTGCAGCTCTGAGGCTGCAGGACGAATCCAAATCTGACAAATCCACTTCTTTTTCATCATCGGCCTCCTCATCCAACCATGAGCATTACCAGGCTTACTCAGCCGATCAGAACACACAGGCAGATTTCCAGCATGATTCTGATCCAACAGCAGAGGGGACAAACATTGGGTCAGTCAACAGGAAATTCTTGGTTACATGCTCTTTGTAGTTTGCTGAGTTTTTTTCCCATATGGTAAAGCTAACCTCACACTCTTCTTGTGCTTCATTTATGCTCAAACATAATTTTTTATCCACACAAAGTGACCAGGGGCAGGACGAGGGGTATGAGACAGAGGAGCAGCTGCATGCTCGACTCTTGACTGCTGCTCTGGAGTTTGTCCCGCAGCACGGCTGGTCTATGGAAGCTATTGCAGCCGGTGCAGAGGTGAGATTCAGAACAGTCGATTTGACTGAGATCAGATCACTAACATGTAGCTAAAAATGTGTCAAATGTAGTTTAAAGGAAATGACATTAATGTCTTCAATAGACTTTAGGCTTTGCGATAATGATCAGTCAGCTAATGCTTTTGTTGTTGTCGATTTGTCACAGTCTCTGGGTTTGTCCTCGGCTTCCACTGGTATGTTCTCCAACGGAATGGGAGATTTGGTCCTACATTTCATCGCCCAGTGCAACGCCAATCTGACAGAGATTCTGGCTGAACAACACAATCAGGTCCAGCAGGGCCAGGTTGAGTACGTATGCACAACGTCACTGTTTAGTTCAATTTATTACAGAATGAAGCAGATATTAGCTTCATCAGGTGGTCATAGCAAATACAATTTTCAAAGTCTACTTTTTAGGGATTAAGATTGGAAGAGTAAATGAAGCATGTTGATATGTATTTTAATAATTTCTTTGCTTTGTCTTTAAATTTGTCTCAGGTTAGTCCAAAAAAAAATAAATAAAGGAAATTGAACATCCCAAAACTAGTAACTTTTTATCACAAGCACTGAGGGACCTGACTTCATATTCTGCACATTAGTTCCGGAACCAGGAAGAAAAAGCAGCAAACTGTGTTTTACAGGGATTTTTGTAACTATTTTCATATGTTGGTGAAGATTCTCAGTCATCCAGGACATGGCAAATCCAAACCTCTGTTGTGAGGAGTGAGAGGGCAATCTGCATGTGAATCTAGCTTACAGAACACCTCAGCTTTATAACTCGAACCCCACACTCCCTGTTCTTTGAATTGATAAAGCTTCTCGGATTAGAAGTGAAACATCTTCAGCTGCAGAATAGAAGTCCAGTTGTATTTGTCTTTAACCTTTTTTGGAATTATTGTCAAACTTATAGAAAAAGTATCTTCTCTTCAAACAAAGAACACAATTTTTATAGAATTACATATTGAGCCAGTTCCTAAAAATATTTTCACTTCATAATTAGTCCCCTCAGGCATAGAAATACCTCATTTAATATTCTTTAAGTCTGTAAAAATAAGCTTTGCTTCTAACCAACAGTTTAACTCTGTTGCAGACCAAAGCAGACTGCAGAGTTTCTAAAAGATGCAATAGAGACCCGACTGCGGATGTACATCCCCTACATTGAAACATGGCCACAGGTAAACAGTAGAACCCGTTGACAACTCATAGCAGAAACAAAATACTCACGAGGAAATCATAAATTATATTTGATTCTTGAATTTTTGTGTCTTATCCTTCTTATTCAGGCGATGAGCATCTTGCTCCTTCCTCACAACATCCCTGACAGTCTGAAGCATCTGTCCACCATGGTGGACGACATCTGGTACTACGCCGGAGACCGGTCCACAGATGTGAGTGGATCCTATCATCCACGGTCCCCATTTTCTTCTGCTCACAGCTTCTTGTCCCCCTTTCATCAACACCCCAACAATATCCGGCCTGCTACTGCCCAGGTTACTAACACCCCCCACCCTGAGTGTCTCTACCCCCAAACATCTGATTATATCATTGTTTACTTCATGATCAAAGATAATACTGAATAACAGACATATGTTGCTTTTTAATGTCTCAGTTCAACATTTGAAACAACAATTGTGTCAACTCATGTTCTATTAAACTGAGACAGCAAGAGGATAAATTAAAACATAACATATTTATTTATTTAGATTCTTTTGAAAGAGTCCCATTCATTTATTAGAAGCCATTTTTTAATTCATTCATTTAAAATTAAATACATTTGAATTAGTAATCAATAATCAATAGCAAGTTAAATGTAAATGAATAAGACTCATTTTCTTCAAGGCTTCCATCGTGTAGTCCCTAGTTAATTATAGTTTATAAGATTTAGCAACAAGTCACTTTACAGAACTTACTTAT